GGCTAAACATTAAATAACTGAACAAAAATTACTTACGACAGCAAACCCTGAGAAAGGGGACTCCCCCAAAACCCCAAAGAGTAATGCGCAGCAACAAAACAAAAAAATCAGGTTGTGCCTAATAACAATATAAATGACCAGTTGGAACTATAAATATTTTTATATGGACCTTGGTATACTTTTTTGGGGGGGTGGGTGGAGAAGGTCTGGCTTCTTATAGATGCGCGAGGTTATGTCTGTGAGTACATGTAAAAAACAAAAACAAAAGAAAAGGAAAGTCCAATAGTGCAGTATGTCTTGATAGGTGGAACACACACAACAAAGAAATGCGTAATTGCCAACTCACATGTGATGGAGTGTACGGCCAGCTCTTTATAGTGTGCAGTGGTATAAATCCTTACTTAAGGATACATGTATGATAGGTGACTGAGTAGATAATGTATGGAGTTGTACTGTGGCATAATTACCATGGTCACAGCTGTGACCATGCCCATTACTCCAGGGGGCCCGGCCGCCCTTTCAAAACCTGTGACTATGGGCCGGCATCACTTCAGACAGCACATCCTGTCAGACCAGGTACTGCGGTCCGCTCGACCACACTACAATGAGTACAGGAGGGGATGGTGAGAGAGACATGGAAGGGCTGATGGGGTGAGACACATGAAGGGCTGGGTGGTAGGTTGGGAGAGACTCATGGATGGAATGGTGGGTTTGGATAGACACATGGAGGGGCTGGAGGGGTGGGAGGAACACTTGGGAGGTCTGGGGTGAAGTGGAGATACACACGGCAGGGCTGGGGGTGGAGGAGACACTTGGGAGGGCTGGTTAGATGGTGTGAAGAAACTACCCCTGTTATTGCGGTACTTTTGTTTTTTCCCTGCTTCCTTTCACAGACCAGTCAAGAGAGCGCTATTCGGTAGATTTGTTCCCACAAACTAGGGAAACAAACACTACCTATGAGCCAGGGGAACCGTTTGCGGATTTATTCGTTTTTTTGTACTTTTCTAAATAGACCTCCATGTAACTCATGAACCCCTGAACCAATCTGGGTGATTTTTTAATATGTTGGTCCCCCAGATCGGGGCTATCAGGGGATATGACTATTATTAGGTTCCCAAGGAGTTTGGGGTACTTTTTAAGTTTTATGGAAATGTATGTTTTTTTTGTGTTGGGAGATAATTGAGTTTAGTAAATTGCTTGACTCAATTATCTCCCCAGTACAGAGGAAGGATTATAAGATTGTATGTAGGAGTGTCCTGAACCTGAGAGTCAATGTACTTGCAGAATGTATTTTGTTACTGCCCCCTCTCAGGTCCAGTGGGGAAACCCTGAAACCCTGTGCATTATTCACTGCGTGTAAACCAGGCGGTTAGCCTGAATAAAGCATTCCTGTTATACCCTTCATCTAGTTTAGGCTGATGTTTGGGTACCTGTCTACTTTGCAGGGAGAATACACTTGGATGCTGTACATCTGGAGAAACGTTCGAATCAACACCCGAACTGCGAGCTATAATCACTCAGGCTCTAGCAGTTCGGGAGAAAATAGGCAATATCAGCATTCATTACAGATGGGGAGACACATGGCGTGGCTGGGGGTGGGGGTGGGAGATACACTTGGAGGGCCTAGGGGGATGGGAAAGAGACACACGGAGTAGGTGAGGGTTAAGAGAGACACATGAAGGGGATGGGGGAGAGACACATTGAGGGGCTTGGGGGGGCGAGACACATAGAGGAACTGGTGGGGAGAATGAGATGCATGAAGTGCGTCTGGACTAAACTAATTTGTGATGGTATTTGTTACATCATTCAGTTTTAAACGAAAACACAGTATCACATAAAAAAAAGGCTAACAGAAGTTATAGGGGATTTTCATCTTGTATAAGTGACAGTTGGACTTTCATATTATAGTGCTGCATAATTTAATCTACTTCTTCAGTTTTGATGCTTGTTTGAACAGGTTCTTTGTCACCTCCTATTCGGCCTCGTCATTACTTATTTGTAAGATAATTTTACATATTCATTATTCATTATGTCATCCTAAACAAGACCAGACAGACCTAAAGTGAACACAAATCAGTAGACCAGTATATAAAAATAACATCAGTATCAAACTTGGATCCAAAATTCCAGTCTAGCTAAATCAGAAATGTCCTACAACAGAGTAAAAAAACACAATTAACAGGTGACTAGCAAAATGAGGTCTTCATGGAAAAGTCACAGTCCATAAATCACGTCTTCGTCAAACAAAGTCTAAAAATAAATCTTAAAGTCTAACATGAATTTCAGTAATGCTAAAAGAAAAACCATTTTGGTATTGGTCTCAGAATTTTTGATGTTACAACATAAATATACATTATGTATATTTTGTTCATATAGTGCTAAAAGAGGTACTTAGTGCTTCACAGGTTATCGTACAGTATTGGGGAGGTTCAGTAAGTGCAATAAGTATACACTGTGTGCATACATTATTTTATTGTGTCTCTGTTTATATCGTTTGCACCACTCCCTATCCCTTTGATGCTATCTCCTTTGGCGTTACAACAAACAGTGTTTTGAAAGCAGGTTGCCCCAACAATAATTTGTATTTATCCAAACATCCGAAACCTAACGCTATACTTAGGGGCTTCATTTGAACTGGCATGACCCTGTCTCATTGCTATACTGGAGCATTTAACACACCTTGTACCAGCACTAATATTCTAAATGTATACAGAATACAGTCTCACTTCACACAACTTGTCCTCTCACTGTCATCTATCTCAGGTAATTTGTATAACAGATTATAATTTGTATAACCAGCCATAATCCCTTGTGTGCGTGACACAGTTTACTTTATTCCCTAAGCAACAATTTGTAGAAGCATGTTGCAAATTTAGGCTAAAATAACAGGTGCGTACTTGATTGAAATTAATCATTTTTTTCCACCTGCAATCTGTCACTTCCCATGATATTTACTATTATATTTTTTAATCCTCTACATTCTGAAAAATAAATTGGAATCCAGAAATCTAAACTTTCCATCCTGCAACTCAGTACCTCCATCTTAGTTCCCCGTCAGCCATCGTTATACGCTCTGTCCTACGTACCTGGTTGGCTTAGTTATACAGAGACAAAGAACAATGTAAAAAAAATTCTGATTTTACTTCCTAATTTGCCTTGTAAGACCTGGCCGTGCCTGGACTTAACTGAATTGTGAATTAATTCGCTACATCATTTATATCGTTTTAAAGGAAAACACAGCGTCACATGAAATCAAAAGGGATAACAGAAGTTATAGTGTATTTTCATTACTTAGAAGTGAGAGTTACACTTTCATATTGAAGTTTTTTCTCACTATAAGCACTGCATAATTACACACAATTCTTCAGTTTTGATGCTTGTTTGAACAGGTTCCTTGTCACCTCCAATTTGACCTTGTCATTACTTATTTGTAAGATAATTTTACTACTTGTTTTTCACTGCCTACTATGTTGGTGTCTTATAAACAAAACTAATAGCAATGCATGTCCCAAATACAAGTGGTAGATTATATTAGTAAACATGTTACTAAACAATATATTTAACATAATCACTAGCTTAACAGCCTCAACATGCAGACCATTGTTATACCTCGGCTTCTTCTGCATATGCTCCTAATCCCTGCTAGGGTTTTTTGTTTTTTACTAAGGTCAATGTACTAAATTATAATATAAATTGTAAAACGTAAGGTAAAATAGCCAACCTCTGAGACCAGATCAGTTAAAGTTGATGTAATTGTCATGACAAACTATGGATCAAATAAGGTATTGTAAGTATGTTACTAAATCTTAAACATGAGTATTTAACATGTATCCAATCATATAGACCATGGTATACATTGTTTTGTTGGAGGAGGGGTGCCACTTGACACATTTGTCATTTATGTGATATATAATTTACAAAAAAACAAGGAAAAACCGTTCTCCAGGGACTTAATATTACAAAATATAACATGTAGCTTTTGTTTACATGATCCAATAAAATGGTGAAGTTTCAGCTCTCAACTCATGAAAGCTCTCAGTTGGGAGCCGAAACGTTGACATTTTATTAGAACGTAAATAAAAGCTAAGTTTTATATTTTGTCATACTAAGTCCATGGAGTGCGGTTTGTACTTGATTTTTTTATTTTTTTTTATTTTTCTAAACCTTTACCAAGCTTTATTGGTTATAACCAGGAGTGCATGTTTTTGGACTTTATGTATATATATATATATATAATGTATGTGTGTGTGTGTTATAAAGTAAAGTTCTGTGGGATATCTTGGCTCTATAGAACAATGATATTAACATAACATATATAAATAATTTGACATCACTATTTGCCATACCATAAATCCATGTAAATTATAAAAAGAGTTTAAAAGGCTAAAATGAAAATCTTTCTTTCTTTCTTTCTTTCTTTCTTTCTCTCTTTATTACTTTCCTTTCCCTGCCATCTGTGATCCTGCAAAGAAAAAAAAAAACTGATTTAGACATTTATTTTCTGTCAACCATCCTCCCTCCCCCACCCCCCAAACCCCTCCAAGACAATGGGTAATATATCTGTGACAAGAGTCACACATTGTCCCTATCTTCATTCAGTGTGACAGAGCAAATCATTTTCCCATTAAAGTAATCTATGCAAAAGATAAACGTTTAGCTGCGAGACCTGTGCTGCAAAATGACACATCTAACCTGATCAGCATGTTCCAAAACATTTAATCAGATAGAGGCAGATTTTAAACAAGCATGTCCCTTTAAACATATTCCAAATGGTTCTAAAAAAATCAAAATCAAAGAGCAACTAGCAACTGCTAACTGCAGAGTAACCGCCCAGCACAGATTAATGGGTTTGTCACTAATCCCTATGTGCACTACTCATGACAAACTATGGATCAAAGAAAAGGGTGGGGGTTACCCAATGCCCTCCCCCCTGGTTGATGATTGACAGCTTAGAATAAGAATTATTATAAGGACTTGTTACAATTCATCCTCTTCCAAGCCGGCAACCAATCAGAGCTCTGCAGGGCGTAGACTGTACAGTCAGAGCTCAGTGTATTTGGATTCACAAGGGCTGGGAGCCCAGTAGCTGCTCCTTGTTATATGAGGTGAAGCTCTGCTATGGGAGAGTAAGTTAGGGATACCCCCCTACCCTCACTACTGCAGAAATAGCCTCCATGGCTAGAAGAAGGAATCTATAAGTATTTTCTTCCACCGCTGCAGGGATAATCCACAGAGGTAAAAACCTTATTCATTCTCTTTAAAAAAAAAAAAAGCTGTTTCCTTTTGATCTATTTTGTATCAGATCTGAGCATAAGTTTCATGAAGAATTGCTACAGTTTAACCTTTGGAGGTTCGTAGTTTAGAACGTGGCTGTTCGTTTCTGTATAGATATCAGATGTCTGTGTTAAGTTTCATTGGAGAATTGCTAAAAATAAAAATTGCTGGAGGTTAACAGAATCATACAGACAAAGGAGACATTTGCTTTTGGGATGCCTTTAAGATTGTGTTGAGCTGCAGGAGATGAGGGGTTAATGTCAAATATCCCAAGCATGCAGCATTTTACACTTGTCATACAAGGGAACACAGGGCTTACCTTGTGCATAGTACATACATAATCTCATTTGTTTTCTAATCATGCTTTGCTATTAGGCTTAGGGGCATGAGGCATGATACAACATGCATTGCTTTCATTAAAAGGAATCCTAGGGAAATTAAACAGTTTGACTGGAAGCCTAAATATATATAAATATATCGTCCCTTGTATGTAAATATACAGAGTTTATAGTCCTTACTGGAATAAATATTGCAACACACACACACACACTCACTCACTCTCACTCTCTCTCTCGCTCTTCTAATCTAAAATGCATGAGACTGCATGGAGTGTGGGCATATCTTTAATAATATCACCACTAGGCACGCATAGATATATTGAAACAGCATATTTTATATTGTTGATGTACACAGATAACACAGAAAACACAACATACGATATACCAGGTTTATAGAGATAAAGCATATTACACCATGTGCATGCAGATAGTGAATAATAAATGCATGACAATATTGCACAAATAGATGCACACAGAGACCCAGGACCAGTGTGTGCCATGCACTTGCATATATAGAGCAGATTATACCAGACTGTATCTGAAGCCCCCAGTACCATGTGTAGGAGTATATTTAGCAGACAATATAGTGTGTGCACACCAAAACTGATCACTCCATGTAGATTCATGAAAATCTATGCAAAGTAAAATTCAGCTAGATTGCACATAGAGTGTGCTATCTTTTTGGAAAGCAAGGGAAGTAATTAGTCATCCTATTTAAGTGAATGAAATATGCAAAGCAAATCACACTGTTGGAATTGCCATAGTAAATACCTCTGTGTGAATGCACACAGTATATGATGCCATGTGCAAGGCTGTATGTACATCACATCAGCCCGTGTATATCTACAGAGGATATGTGCCAGTGGGTATGCATGTAAATAATAGACTCAGCATGGCACTCCTGGGCTTGTGATCATTGTATGTGGTATTTCCAGGCTCCCATTATACTGCACTGCACACTGTCTGTTCTAGGAACAGAGAAAGTTATAATAAAATAAATGGAGCCCCAAGTGACAGGCAGGGTATGAGGGATATGAATGCAATGACCCTTAGCAGGATAACACTTCCAAATCTCAGTGTAAAAGGCTTATGTTGGATTTTTACTGACACAAAGCAGGTCGTACAGGCTGGGTTGGAGAGGAACTGGTGCTGCAGCCTCATTTTATAACTGGAATACAAAGTCATGTCATAGGAGGGTGCAAGGGAAATGGGATATTTCAACTCATCTCCCTCAGGAAGCTGTTTAACCCTTTATCTGCCAGAGATGTTTATCTACAAGTGAATGAGTTAAAATAAAATGCCATGTTTGTTTCTTGGTATTCTTGCTGATGATATAGCCAAGTAGTAAGCTGACAGTGATATTTCGTTTTTCATTAACTAGCTCTCTTCGATTAACTCTTTGAGTGACAGGGGGTTTGTCCTCCTCCTGGAAAAGCAATAGGTTGTGCATACCACGGGTTAATTCCATTCCAATCTCCATGTTTTTACTGCCATGGTCCTTTGAGTGACAACACTTTAGCAGAAATGTTAACACGGAAAGATGTTTACTTTATATTCTTTTTACTTTCATTTTCCTGGCTCTGGCAAATAATTGGTTAAACTGTGACGCTGTATCTTTCCATTCGTTTTTCTACTGCTCTAATAAACCAGGTTTGTTTTTGCTATAGTCACCAGATAAATGACACCATTTGAGTGGTATTTGGTGTATTTGTCCCCTATGGTAACAAAAGTCTTAAAGTGACAACCTAGTTATTGCTTCTCGAGTACCTTGACACTGTCTAGCTGTGAATTGGTTAAAAAGTATATTAGTGGTTCTTCTGACATAGAGAGGGCCTAACCCCTAGCAACAAATGAATCTCTGGGTGCACACACTGACAGTGAACGGGTTAATGCTAAATTATATTCATTTTCCCTTACCGCATTAACTGTGTGAGGACCACAGCTAGCAGTTTAGTGTACAACATCACATTTTTTCATAGTAATAGTTAAGTGCAGTGAATGGGTTAATAGTAAATTCTACCTCATGTTTTTGTTCCAATGATCATAGCCCTCTGAGTGTCACATTGAAGACACTGTTAGTGCCAATGTATTAATCTCCTCCATGATTTATTTTCCCATGGTAATACCCAACTGAGTTTCTCTGGCTGGCAGTGAATGGGTTGCTAAAGTTGTAGATTATCATTGCATTTAACTATGAGTCTGATCACTTAGGTTTAGACCCCCTCACTGCTTTAGTTGGCAGTGAATAGGTTAAGTCAAAATGTTTGCCTGTCAATTGTAATTCTAGCCCTCTCAGTTTATATCATGGATTTTCTATCCCATGCTCCATGTTCCTCTGATCATACGTCTCTGTGTCCCAACTGAAAGGGTTACTGTAGAATGTGTCCCATGATTCTAGCCCTCTCAGGTTCCCAGCTGGCAGTAAGAGGGTTACTGTAGAATATTTCTCATGGTTCTACCCCTCTCAGGTTCCCAGCTAGCAGTGAACGGGTTAATCCCAGCTGGCAGTAAAAGGATTACTGTAGAATATTTCTCATGGTTCTATCCCTCTCAGGTCCCCAGCTGGTAGTGAATGGGTTACTGAAGAATATTTCCCATAGTTCCAGCCCTCTCAGGTCCCTAGCAGGTAGTGAATGGGTTAATGTGGAATAGTTCCCATGGTTCTAGCCTCTCAGATTTCCAGCTGGCAGTGAATGACCTCTGTCCTATGCTTTGCCATCTCTATGCTCTCAATGTGGTCCATGCCCTGTGTTCAGTCTCATGAAGTCTCAGGCTGTTTATTGGGGTGACTGATGTTGGTGACTGATGTTGGGTCTCTGTTTCTCCGCAGATCTGGCGTCCCTGCTGACCTCGCCTTGTCCTGTCATTGATGGGAAATCAACTGGATCGCATCACCCACCTGAATTACAGCGAGCTGCCGACAGGAGACCCCTCCGGGATCGAGAAGGACGAGCTGCGGGTCGGGGTGGCTTACTTCTTCTCAGATGAGGATGAGGAGCTGGACGATAGGGGGCAGTGTGAGCGCTACACGGTGAGGGACAGCAGTCCAGGCCAGGGAGAGGGACACCTTCTACTCAACGAGATCGAGTTCTCAGCCTACAGCTGCCACGAATGTATCTTCTCCAAGATCAGGGGCCACCAGGACCTCAGCGTCTATCCCATGCAAGGCTTGCTAGCCTACTGCAAGCCAGGAGACCTCCTGGAGCTGCTCTTTCTGTGCCCAGCAGCAGACCACCCTCCTCCACCATCTCCTCACTGGGCAGTTTATGTTGGCCAAGGTCAGATTATTCACTTACACCGCGGGGAAATCCGCAAAGACAGCGTGTTCGACGTCGGTGGAGGCTGTATGGGCAGGGTGGTGAATAGCTGGTACCGGTACAGGCCACTTACCTCTGAACTGGTCCTCCAGAACGCATGTGGACACCTTGGCTTGAGGAGTGATGAGATCTGCTGGACTAACTCTGAGAGCTTTGCAGCATGGTGCAGGTTTGGCAACAGGGAATTTAAGGCAGGTGGGGAGGTCCAGTCTGAGGACCTGCAGTACTTCCTGAAGCTCCACCTGGAGGAGAACAATGTCCACACCTTGAGTTTTCCTAGCCTGGAGGACCTAATAAGGGAGAAGAGAAGGGTGGACGCTGGTGGCAAATTGAGAGTCCTGAAGGAGCTCTCCATGGTAGAGGAGAAAGAGTAAGGAGGGCAGAGGGTTGAAACATCTTCCTAGTTTGCCAAACAGGTTGCACCTTTTAGACTCATTTTTAAGGATCATGTCAACATTCCTGAAACCAGCATTACACCATAGCCACTGTTTGATTTGGCTTTTTAAACATGGTATCAAAAAACAAACAAAAAAACCACAAAAAAGCACCCACAAAAAAGCAACAACAAATGTCGAGTATGTTGGCTGTAGTGTTGATGTCTTTATTGAGCATTTAGCAACATGCTAAATAAAATTTCAAATTGAAATTTGTATTTTCATGGCTTTACTCCATGATCGTTTATCCACAGAGGCCAATAAATTGGATTTCTCTATTTGATTATTTAGTGTTGCTTTCTGCTGTCTTATTTGTCTTGTTTAAAAAAAAAAAAAATACAAAAAAAAAATACAACATATTTTTTATTAAATCACCTTTGTCCTTACTGCTTTTATATGGCACAAAATATTATTGCCTTTGTTTGGCAAGACTTGTACTTCTTGTTCCAATTTGATTTTCTTTTCTTTTTTCTGCAGTTAATTTGTATTTTGCTCTCCCACATCATTTGAAATGGATCTACATTCCTTCTACTGCAAGCACAACCAATGTGCTTTATGAAATTGAATACGTTTTCTTTGCTATTTTTCTTTTTAACTACTGGAATAAATACTTTCTAAAGGTACCATCTTCTTTAGCTGACAGATCATTGCTATTTAGTGGTGTGTTGGAAGTATATGTTGCAGATATGCCAGGATGCACTGCACTTTTACTATTGAATCACAAGTAATGTTGAAACAGCTAAACTAAAACAAATGATTCATTCTATTGGGAAAATGCTGTTAATAATCATGTATGGCAGGATTACAGTGTGCCAACTGCCAACTGAATTTGTGTGAATTGGAATAAAAAAATTGCAATGTTAAGGGTAAATTAGCCAAGCTTTTAATATAGCTGAATTTTATTTACTATTTTAGCCTGAAGTTTGCAATTCGGATTTGTCCAATGTAGTGCCAAATAGTCAGGCTAGTAAAAGAAAAAAAGAAAACAATTCGTGCAGAGTCAGAATTTTTTTAAATTGGTGGTCAATGCACGTTAGGTTACAGTTTAGTAAATATACCCCAAAATAAGCTGACTATCCATAATTTTAATAAATAATCCTATTGTGGCAGCTTGCAAAATGCCAACCAGAATAGCTGAGTTAGGAAATTCCCTTAGCAGAGTGAGATTTTCCTTCTCCAAGTTTGCTAGTTTAGCCTGAGTCAGTCTTGATGTAACTCAGTTAACGTACTGCATCTCACGTTTTAGTGAATTAACACTCATGCATTTGTGTGCAAGAAAAAAAAATGCTTTTTTTTGCCACCTTTCTCAGTTATACTGATATAATTGGTATTAATAACTTTATGCTTATAGATCACAAATGTATATTTTTTTATTTTATTTTTAAATGTTCGGAACAAAGACAGTTAATTTCATTCTGCACTCAAGGGGTTAAACTGTTCTACTGGAAGCTATTGGAGACCAAGGCAACGCTGTAAAAATGAAAAATGTTGCCTTTTGTTTTGTTTGTTTGGTTTTTTTGCTCTCTTTTCTAGCCCAGTTCTATAATTTTTTTTTTTTAAACCTTTTGCTTGGAATCCAGAGCCCTGCACATTAGCAATTCAGTTTATTGGATATTTTCAATCTTAAAACATATTTTCATACATTGTAAGACATGCATACTCATAATTTTAATATTAAAGGTTGATAAAAAAAAAAAAGAAAAATTGTTTTGGACAGGCTTTTTTTCCCCCCTGCACGTAACCTTTCAAATATTGCATTTTCTGGAATAGAGCTATGTGTACATTCCTATGGTGCTTGCTGTTAGTCATGGTGGGTGTTGCTATAACTGTGACAGTATTTTTCGTTTCCTAAAATAGCCCTTTATTTTAAAACAGAAAATAGTTTTGGGGTGTACAATTACAGATAATGTATAGTTCAAATATCCTCTTCATGTTCAAATACAGCCTTACCTTCTGAAACATTGTGCTCCAAATAGGAAGCAATTTGCAAAACTAGGAGATTCCAGTTTTGCCGGTTACATAGTTTGCAATCCTTATTTTAGAAGATTGTATCAGTATGTTTTTTTATTTATTGCTAATTTACTTTGTAGCAAGCCGTACATGGCTCCTATAGTGTACAATAGTAGTCTTGGGTTAGTAGCTAAGATCCACTGCCAGTTGATTATTCAGTAAAGTCTGAACTATAGCAATTTGAAATCTTAATTGCAAAATTTAGGTTAACATAGTCAAGCTGTGACCATAATGCAGCTGGATAATCTCTTTATAATGATTGGCTATTAATGCACGCTCCCAGACGCTCCCAGACATCTGACTTGAAACATTGTTGAGAAGAAGTCAATCAATATCACCAGTGATGTCAAGGAAAAAATAGTTTAAAACACAACCCCAAGAAAATGACATAGTAACATAGCAATCTATGTTGAAAAACAGATTCAAGTCCATGAAGTTCAACCATCCAAATAAAATAATGCTGTTCTCATTACTTACACCATACTCAGTAGCAATAATATAGACTCCATACAAACCAGGAGTCCGGATACATAACTCTCCATATTCCTCCATTCCATGGAAAGCTGCAAATGGGTTAATAATCATGTACAGGGTTGTGCGAAACCTCCATTCCCACATCCCATACCAGGTGAAGCCAAGCTCTGATACTGCAAATGTTGTGGCCTACATCTCCCATAATGCACTTACAGCCATTAAGCTGGCAAAGCATCTAGGGAGATAGAGTCCATAACATCTGGAGTGGCGAAGGCTGCCTACCCCTACCCCTGCCATAGCCCATTGTAATGGGCAAAAACCTGGATTATGAAAACAAGACAAGTCTCAGGTTTCCTACCCTTTTACCATATAACCAATGGTAGCAGGATGTGAAATATTCAGCAGCTTCTTGTGGCATGGTAGGAGTGTAGAATGGATGTCAGAGAGCTTTGATTGCTCCTGTGCGTGGTGTATCATATTGTTAAATAAGCAAGGATTCCCTAATACCCTGAAATGCCAATATAACTCATACTTTTTATCTTGTATAGCTACAGTTACAGGAGGTACTCGGTCCTAAGTTCTAGCATTGCCCATTCAACCTCCACCACATAGAAATATGAATAAACAATCTATTTACCTAATAAGTATTTGCATAACTGACTCCTTACAATGGTGGAGGCACCAGTGAGCTGTAGCATTATTGTTATTAGAATGTTCATTTAAATGTGTATGGTATTACTCAACCCAGACTGTATGAGTCACATGCAGATGGTGACTGTGCAACTGTCTTGCCCTTAATCCTTCAAAATGTCTATGCTACTATATGCCATCATGCCCTGAGTCATTTTGAATGGTCCATTGTTGACAGGCAGTGTTCATATATCAGATCTAATATAATGTTTCAAGCTGCACAGAGCTTGATGAAGCCTCCTATCATATTCGTGTTTTAAAGCATTCATGTAAATACAGCTTTGGACCTGTCCACTTCATTTTAATCACAACCTGGACAACATCATTTTGCAAAAAATTATTAAAATAAAAAATATTAAGTATTACATAGCAACAAGGTTTATTCGCCAAATATCACATTGTAGGCTGACAATTGAATTGTAAAAGGCTAAAACAGCCAGGGTGTGACTATAACTGAGTTGGACATTTTTTTCCCCTAAAACATGCAATTCCATTTTCAATTCATCTGCACAATGAGTTATATTGGGTATATATTTGATGTAGCTTTTTGATATGCAACTTATACTAATAATTCTTCAGACTGATTTCACAATCAGTCTTATTTAAAACATGTTTTTTTATAAAGGGACACTATAGTCACCATAACAACTTTAGCTTAATTAAGCAGTTGTGCTGTATAGATCTGCAGTCTAACTGCTCAATTCTCTGCCATTTAGGAGTTAAATTGCTCTGTTTATACAGCCCTAGTCCCACCAACCTCAATGTGACTTGCATAGCATTCCTAAACATTTCCTGTAAAAAGACATCTAATGTTTAAACTTCCTTTATTACACAATTTGTATAATTTAGAATTTATTGCTTCCTGCACTGTTAATAGCTTGCTAGAACTTGCCGGAACTTCCTGTGTGTGATTAAAGTTCAATTTAGAAAGCAGGAAATGCAAATGTTTAAAATAAGATCTGATTGAAAATTAAATCATTTTTTTTTCATGCAGACTGTGTTAGTCACAGTCACGGGAGGTGTGGCTGAGGCTGCATAATCAGAAACAAAGTGAATTAAAGGTAAACTATAGTGCCAAGAAAACAAGCTTGTGGTCTGGGTACCTACAGTGTCCCTTTAACTCCTGAATTGAGAATTGAGCAGTGAGATTTTAGTGGCGTAATCTATACATCAGAAACTGCTAAATTTAGTTTAAGTTGTTTTGATGACTGTAGTGTTTCTTTAATAGTTTATGTGCAAACCTTTTTATGTAGTTTATACTGTCATGGTTTGGTGTCAAGGCTGGTGTTAAATTTCATTTTCACAAAATAGTAGCAAATATCTTAGACATCTCTTTAACAAATTAGCATGGTGTTTGTACCACACCACAACCATAGTGAGGATGATGGTCACTGCCTCTAAAATATATTAAGTAACAGTATTTTACATTTTATTCTAGTGCTTACAGTGTTAGCATAAAGCAGTTAAGATAAAGTTAATTAGAGTGTGGTGGGACTATATGCTGGCATGCTACCCTTTTGAGCTGGACAATTTGTTTAAATTTACCCACAACTCAAAAGTGTAGCCAGTTCAGCCCTATCCCGAGCTTATAAAAAATGTACACTTCAGAGGTGACAATCATTTACCAAAACACAGCCCAGTTATAAACATACATTTTTTTTATTATATATGCTCTTGAATTACTATTTTTGACAAAAGCAGTTGTTCAAAACATGAAATACACAGCTACCATATACACAGACTAAAAGAGCAATTTTCAAATGTAATATCGTGTACATTTACACAATATGCATTTTTTTACTTGTTTGCTCATTCTTTAGAAAGATATTGTGTATATAAATATTTTAGAAATTATATTGTATTAGGCAGGGGCTGAAATATTAGCATATACTCGGTATATGTTTGCAGATTATAAATATGAGAAAACAATAATAAAATGTTCAGATATGCTGTATGTAAATATTTGCCACAATTCATATGGCATTCTGGGCATGCAGCCTTCTTAAATGTCAGTTACACCATGTACTTTTACATTACAGAGCTTTGTAGACTGTTACTGCAGCCTGCAAGTAATCACTGTAGTGTGCTCTGACATTTAAAAGGCATGGTTTAAGGAGAGAGGGGTGTAGGATGCCAAATGACAGATGGCATCTTTACAGAGTTTCTTTAATAGTTTTGCCATTTTTTTATACTCTATACAGTATCTGCGTTGATATATTACTATCAGAAGCAGACTCTAATTACTAAAAAAAATATATGAACAACCATTAAAAGGAATTTAGACACGGCATATTTGTACTTGGAAAAAAATAATTATAAGGTATTCTACTTTTGCTGGAAAGAAAACTAAACTTTTTCAAAACATGCTTCTTTGTAAGCGTTTCTCACATAATGTGCTTAAAAAGTGCATTAGGAAGAAATGCACAGCGGGAGTTTTCAAGTAAAGTATAAAATGAGGGCATTTGCATGAGCTGTGGGGATAATAAGCTCACAAGTAAAGTAAAGATAGCACACACTGGGATTTTCTATAAATTACCAAAATAATGGAAGCAGATTTGATTTCTTTTTTTTTCCCTTTAATTAACAGTAACATTTTCCAGAATCTAGGTTTTGTATAAAAATACAATTCACAATTTGTGTGACCGCAGCCACCCCCAACCACTTCAGAACCTGTTGTGAAAATGAGAGGGTCTTTTAGCCCTTTTATTTATTGATTTATTTATTTTTTAGCCTCTACACTGCTGCACATGATGTGAGTCTTGGGAAGAGACACATGTGGCTGCTTCCTGCTTTAGCAAGGGACCACCAGGCCCCGATTCTCTATTTATGATATTCAGAACTGTTTGCTCAATGTTGAAGCTTCTAATCTGTTATCTCTGACTGGAGCAACATACCTGGTTTCATTTGAGTTAGTTATACGCTAGTGATTAGTGTACAGGTGACATATACCACACTCGTAATAGTGATTTCACACTTTTCAAGCTCTTGAGGGTGGAACAATTTTCTTAACAATTAAAGTGCCTTTCATGTTATAAAGAAATGCGAGAGGGATATTTGTTAATAAATGATCTTGAGGACTCCTGATTTCTTCTGCTTATTTTTTCTAATGATTTTTTTATTTCTATGACTACTAACTGACTGTTTGGAAATTAACTCGGGATTTCTAAAACAATTCATAAATTAGTCTACCACATCCCTTGGTGCATTGGCAGAATTTCAGAGGGACAGGCATCTCATGGGTTAAATGTAAATAATATGAATTATCTTTGAGTCACATTTTCAATTTTTGATCAACTCAGCCCTTAATTTTTCCAACTCCATAAAACAAGTACCCTTAATTTGGGTAATCCTAAAACCTACACCCCAGGATGTACATGAAAACTGGCTGAAAGCTAAATGTATGTTTCCTAATTAAACAATATCATATAATTATATATAATTCTGAAATAATTAAATGCATTTCAAGGGTCGTGTTGGGACATTCAAAAAGCAAACATAAATTATACCGGTTACAACCCTTCACTTTTCAAGCAGACAACATGTCCTGTTACATCCTTGGTTGGTTAGCTTATTTGCACTGAACTCAGCAATTGGCCTGAGCATCTGCCTTGCAAAGACTTCTCATTGAGCTGCATTGGGAAATCAGTGATTATACAGTCACATAACGTCTGGGTGGAGTTAGAAGGGGAGGGGTTGCAAAAGCAGTAGACAAGAGATCTGCAGTTTTGCAAGCTGTTTTTAGACATAACGCCAATGTAATAAATGCATAATTAAATGCATGCAAGTTTTCATTTGGGGCATATGTACTAAACAGTGATTTTGATTTATTTTGTTTTTGGACAGTGGAGTGTCCCTTTAATGAATTCCCCACCCCGTTAGTCTTTAGAAACTACTCACTAAATGACATAAAAGCAAATACAAGGTGCACTTCACTACTCTTAATGCACTTTTATATATACTTTAATATAATGCACTTATATTATTATTAATCATAATAAAAAACGTACAAAAGGTTTATATAAAGAGCTCTTTTCCAAAGTGCATTACCATGTTAACAATTAATCATAGGTCTGCTTAGAGACAGATAAATATATATCTATACATACTGGTAAAAGGAAAGCAGATTATTCTGTCCCTGGGATTTAATCTAACATTTTACAAGATGGTCTATAGGCATCCAATCTATGCATAATAATGTACATTGATACAATCAGTGGTGTATTTTGGATTTGTACTGCCCTAGGCACAACTAATTTTGGGCACCCCCCCAAATCTTAATTTGCCCCCCCCCCCCTCAATTCATGTCAATGTCACTTTTTTGACTGACAGACACAGGCCCTCATTGATACGTGCACTGACATACACTCAATTGCAGATAAACAGTCATTGGCACACACATACAGTCATTGGCACACACACACACTGTTTAACCAACACACACTGGCAGACACACACTTTCAGATACACATAAAATGACAGACACACACTGACACACACTCACAGACATTCCCATCCTCACTGATTTGACACACTCTGACAGACACACACTTTCACTCACTCACAGACACACACTGACAGCTACACCTGCACTGACAGCTACACTCACTCACAAACTCACAGAGCGTGAGAGAGCAAGAAGAGTGGAGGACAGCACTTTCTTGTCGCCTGGCTAGAATATTATTAGTTTAACACCTAGGGAGGGCCCTAAGAAAGACAGCCCCAGGACATGAGGCAAACAAGACATTTGTTTGGGAGCTTGGGGTGGTGTTTTTTGGCGCCCCCCTAAAAGTGCCGCCCTAGGCAAATGCCTTGTTTGCCTTGTGGTAAATACATCCCTGGATACAATAGGTAATGGGGAGAAAGTACTTTTATATGCATTTCAGGATCCTTAAGTCCTTGTTCTTTTTATAATAAGTATATAATCAAATAAATCACAGAAGAATATTTCATGACATTAGAAGTAATAAGAAAACATAGGCACAACGAAAGCCCTGTTCATACAAGCATTCATATAAACAGATCATAACAAATCGTTATAAAAATTATTCCAAAATTGGAAGAATTTTAAACAGGAACATTTTGGTTTGTTTTATTCAGATATTGTTTTTTATTTAAACAAGTAGTGTATGCTGAACAGTGAATTTTATTTTATTTTATAAGCATGGTGTTAATTTTATAAGCAAATTTAGAAGTGCTCCTTAATTTACTATTTGATACGCACACACATTCTAAATAAAGTAGGATGTAATGCAAATGGCTATGATTAATCTAATATAAGATTTCTGTTAAAAAAATAATAATGTTTTTTTATGGACAGCTGCTGAGAGGTTATTAAAGGGACACTATAGACACCTACACCACTTAAACTCATTGAAGTGGTCTGGGTTCATATTCCCAGGTTCCTTAACCCTGCAAAGCTAATTATTGCAGTTTTTAAATAACTGCTATAATTACATTTATGGGTTAATGCCAGATAGCTACTAGAGGGATTTCTGGGTCATTAGGCGACTTTTGGTTGACTAAATGATGCTGAACGTTCTTACACTAAGCATTAGAACATGCAGCGTCAATCGATACCCCATAGGAAAACATTATACATAGGACTTCCCCCATAGGAAAGCAATGTATTGGGTATCACTTGATACCCCTTACATTGCTTTCCTATGGGGGAAGTCTTAATATGAGCATGGTCGGCGGGCGAGGAGCGAAGGCGGACCTTGAGCCAATGCCGAGGGACATAGGCCCTGGACTCAGGTAAGTGACATAAGGGTTTTTTAACCCCTTCTGCACCACAAGGAGAGAACAGGGAATTTTAGGGAGCTAAAGTGTGCCTGTTTTCATGCAAGATTTCTTACTCTGTGCCGCATTATTCCTGTTTGTAATCTTCCTGTTTGTAGTACCTGGACCTCTCTTTTGTCATGTTTAATAGTGGCATTGTTGATGTACAAAATATAGGTGCAAGAATATTTTTTTTTTCTTTGGACCAAAATTTGCCATCAAAAACAGTGTAGTGGATTTTCTGAAAGGATTTCCTTTTTCTGTAACAAAAAAAAAAATCCTTTAAATTGTAAATGGGTCTATTTTTTCCCCTGATACTATTATACAGTTGTCTTATTTTGTGAATGTAAACAATGGTAAAATCATCAGGGGAAAAAAATATGAGTGAAAAGTGCCAGAAAGATGGAATTTATGATGCATTATAGAAAAGGTGTACATTTTTCTCAACAAATGTATAAAAGGTGGAGTAACAGATTTTCTATAAACAGTTTTATAGAAATGAACCTGGAGCATGCACACAAAACGGCTTCAAAAGTGAAAGTGAGAATGATTATTTTTATACATAACCGATATTTATTTCAGTTTCCAATTTATGAGTAAAAGAAATAGATCTGAGGTTTAATTAAACAATATTGGTCCATTGAAAAAATGGCAAATAACGTTTCCTGTATGAGAAAATTATAATTATTGTTGGCATTTATAATACGCCAACAAATACTACAGTGCAATTGGGGAAAAGAATATACTGTGTACACAGACCAATGCAAACGGTAAAATGGACCTTGCCCACAAGCAGACACCAGTTAGGTTATAGTGAAAATAACAGTCTAACTGTTTTGCATAATTAGGTAGTTAGTTTACTGTTACATTTCTCTTAATAATGCCACATCCAGGTCAATGCTTGCTTAACTGGTTTTACCAACAATATTAAGCATCAGCAATAATTGTTTTAGATTCATTACATATACAGGGTTATTTACTAAAGTGTGAATTATAAGCAAATTTCAAACTTAAAGGGACACTATAAGCATCCAGACCACTTCAGCTCATTGAAGTGGTCTGGGGGCAGTGTCCCAGGACCCTTAACCCTGCAGTGTTAATTATTGCAGTTTTTGATAAACTTCAATAATTTCATTGCCTGTGTTAACTCCCCCAAACAGCCACAAGAGGGATTTCCGGGTCGTAAATGTGCATTAAAGCCCCCCACCATTTGACAATCGGTGGATGAGAATGGCGGTGCCTGAATCTGCACCAAGGGGTCTTTAATACATTGTGCACCACTGGGGGGTGAGGAAGGGGGAGGGAGGGGTGACGAAGATGGGCACTAGAGGGTGCCATAGTGCCAAGAAAACATGTTTTCTTGGCACTATACTTTCCCTTTAAGGACAAAGTAGCCAAACTGTAAGCATTTTTTCCTTATATTTAAAATTCACTTTGAAATTTTAGTTCAGTAAATAACTATTTTTATAGCATGCTCAAATCTTTATAGTTTTTGCAGAATGCTGCACCATAAGCCTGCTTCTTTAACCACGCCCCCTCACTCCAGAAAAAGACTTCCTTCTCGAAGGTATGCACACAGCTCAGCCACTGACAGTACTGAATGATCTAAACTATAAAACATATTAGGTTACAAGGAGAGTACACCCAAGGAGACATATAGTGAGGACATCAGTACGTTTGCAGTTTTTCTGACTATCTGCAGCCAGGCTGTGAATTAAAAGCCTCACACTTGGTGCTGTTAAGGCTGAGAGTATGCACATACACTTTATAAGTAAGTCGTATGAGTGGTCTTAGCTAAAGAAGCAGGCTTATGGTAATATTTCAGAAAAACGTTTATTTTTTTTGTGCAAAAACCAATAAAGATTTGAGCATGCACAAAAACGCAGCATATTGATGAGGCCACAATCTATCAAATGCATTAAAGTTGTATTGGTGCCCTGAGAGTCCATTTAAAGAGCAACTTGCAAGGTTTCTACCAGTAAAATTGAAAGCGCCGGCGTGAAATTATGTAAACTACAAGTCATAGGGGACAAACTAAAGTTAACTGCTTAGACCCTTCACTGTATACTAAGAAATGTATTCATCAGACAGTGAATTGTGGGAACTTAGGGAAATTCATAAGGAGATTGCAAGGAATTTTAAAAATGTAGACTTAAGTAACTGAGTAGGGAGAAGTCACCAATTCAACAGTTTTTTCAAACTTAGCTATTTCTACATCTTTATTATTTTGGAGTGAATTTTGTTGTTTCCATTGGAATTCCACGATAGCTGTTTAGTAAATAAATCGCACCAGCAAA